GAGCCGCTGTGAGCTGCCGTCCAATGGCCGGCGACCAATCTGCCTCACCGGGGAAGAGTGCAATGATCACAATACCAACATGGGCCAGTGAAGTCAGGTCCTCCACAACTAGACTGAAGAACGAAAGGACAGCAACTTGTCTGTTCCCCGATTCCCCAACACTGTTCCCTCCCCCAATTCCCCAATAAAATCTTTTTAAAAACAAATGAAAAAACAGTCGATGGCAAGGATCAGGCAGCAAGCCTTAGGGACCAAACTAAAGTTAGCCTCCAGGAAAGAGCTGGAAGGAGAAGAGAAATGTGAACCGTGTGGTTTTCAAAAGAGAAAAAGTGGTAGGCGACTTAGAGCTGTAGGGATGCTGTGGTGGATACCATCCCACCCCACCCTAATTCAGCTCAGACTCTCTTATGGAAATATCCTCAACATATCTCACCACCAGTTTTGATATCTCTACCTCAGCTTTAGCAACAGAATAGTTCCTGTTTTCATTTCTCAGTGCACTTGACACATGGCACTAATAAAAACCTTACGTGCACACAGGGGTCAAGAGCATTCCTACATCCCTAACCACATGTTCATCGGTGGCCATGGCTACTTGCCACCCCCAAATAGAGAGCACGTACAACAACAGGGTGTTCTAGATCCTGAACTGGCAAAACACACCTGCAGCAAGGAGGTTGAGTTTCTTCTTTCTAGAGAGATTGGAAACTCAGTAGAAAAGAGAGGGTGGGCTGTAAATAAAGGGAGAGAAGGAAGAATTCTTATACCCATGTGGGTGGCTCATCCTCTCCTTGTATCTTTCATCCTGGGCAACAAATATTCCAAGACTCCACCTGGGAACAAACTCATTTGCTTCCTCTTCTGTCAGATAAATAACTTTGTAGCTTGGAAGGGCCACAAACACGCACCTCTTCTCACCAGAGCAACTTAACAAACCTCAGTGAATCTTCACTTCCTTTGGACTGATGATAAAAGCATCAGAAGTCTGTGTTGTATTGAATTCCCTACCTTGAATCACGTCTCAGGGTTTGCCTCCTGCAAGATCCAGGCATCGCAAATGGTACCTGGAGCATTACCTGGTGCAACGAAGGGGCTCATGTGGGTGTGCTCTTGGCTGACCAACACCAAGCTTCGGGGTTTTTTTCTCTGCTCCCACCACTACCAGTGGAATCTTCCGCTCTGTGTCATGAGGCCACTTCCTAGAATTGGAGAACTCACTCCATGAATTAAGGAATGGAACTGGGGGCTGAAAATACCTATGGAAGTCTTTCAAGTGCTTAATCACTTGTTAAACCAGGGAAGCAGACCACAGGCTTTGTTTAAATCTGTCCCTCCTAGGACAGGGGAAGGGAAGACAGAAGCAAGAATGACCTGACAGTACACCACTGCCTCCAAAAAGTACCTTAACGTTTCCTCAGGCCCTTGGTGGCAGAGCATGTTTCACAGAATTATAGGATGAAGAAGGCACTTGAGAGAATGTCATCTAAACCCTTTCTTTGAGGGAGGAGAAAATCAGGTTCAAAGAGTATTATAACTAAGGATCCCAGCAACCAGAATACAAGCCAGAGTTCTTCATTTCTAGTATTCTGCTCTTTGCAATTCAACACACTGGCTCATTTAAAAAAAATTCTATGCTTATATATGATGTCAGAGGGTCAATAGATTGGGGAGGGGGTTATCACTTTGTGAGGGGTGAAATGTGTAACTATTACATTGTTTGTACACCTGAAACTAATAAAAAAAATTCTAAGCTTTCACGCAAATAGATACTTAATAAATGGTAATGGATTAAGTGAATTCATGAGTAGATGCCCATATAGAGGGTTTATAACTTATTTCCCAATTCTTTTTTTTTTAAATTTTATTGGGGAATTGGGGGAGGGGAACAGACAAGTTGCTGTCCTTTCGTTCTTCAGTCTAGTTGTGGAGGATGTTGTTTCACTGGCCCATGTTGGTATTATCATTGCGCTCTTCCTGGGTGAGGCAGACCGGTCACCGGCTTCTGGACAGCTGCTCATGGTGGCTCTTGGCAGCTCACACCAGCTGCCAGCTGCTCACGCTGGCTGCTGGGCACACATGGTAACTTATGGCAGCCCACTGCAGCAAGGGCTGCAGCCTACACCGTCACCAGCAACTCTTGGAGGCCCAGCTCCAGGTCGAGCTGTTGTTCACCATCTTAGCTGTAGAGGTCAGTGTCACTGGCCCTCATGTGGGATCCAAACCGAAGCCCTGCTGCTCAGAGCTGGCGTCCCAAGCCAGCTCTTAACCAATGCGCCACTTGGCCGGCCCTCCCAATTCTTTTCAGAAGGAAATATTGTTTAACTTTTTTAATCAAAAAGCTCAATTAAATATAATTTTAAGCAAAATAATAAATATTGGCCAAAATATCACCTAAGGCCAAGTGTCACTTGAGAGTATCAGAGAAGTTGGCTTGATTTCTATACTTGGTCAATTCAATTAAGTTTGTCCGGCTGAAGTCGCCTTTATCCTATTTGGTTTGCAAAGAAAAATCTCATGAGTTAGCATGAGCAGCTAAAAATAAGTTGCAGGTTTCATTTTCCGTTGTTCAGTATGGTTTTGAAACCAAAAGGTGCCAAACTAGGAGAGTCATCAACGCCTACTGAAAATCAGCAATTCAAATTGTCAACTTTCTAGCCCACCATCCTGATCAGCAACTCACAGCCATGCCCAAGAAATGTACTCTACTCTCTGTCTCAGCACAGTCTCTTGAGAGGAGTCCCCCTTCAGAAATAAGGTGTGGTGGGCCGGCCGAGCGGCACATTGGTTAAGAGCTAGCTTGGGACGCCAGAGGGCCCTGGTTTGGATCCCATATATGAGGGCCAGTGACGCTGCCCTCCACAGCTAAGATGCTGAACAACAGCTCGACCTGGAGCTGGGCGGTCGTGAGTCGCCAGCGATGGCCCCCTGCTGCAGTGGGTTGCCATGGGCTACCATGTGTAGCCAGCAGCCAGCGTGAGCGGCCCTCAAGCCGCTGTGAGCGGCCATCCAGAAGCTGGCGACTAATCTGCCTGGCCTGGGAAGAGCGCAATGATGGTGCCAACTTGGGCCAGTGAAGCAACGTCCTCCAGAACTAGAGGGAAGAACAAAAGGACAGCAACTTGTTTGTTCCCCTTCCCCCAATTCCCCAGCACTGTTCCCATCCCCCAATTCCCCAATAAAATCTTTAAAAAAAAAAGAAAGAAGGTGTGGCAAGAAATTGGGGGCTGAGGCCAGTCCTGTGGGACAGTGGCTTGTGTGTGTGTCTTATATCCGGACAGGATGCCACATAGATATCAGCCCCATTGCTCAGCCTCAGTTTTAGGTGAAGCTGGGGACCCCTCCACAGAGCAAGGGAGCTAGAATTTCATTCAGGTGGGGCCCTAAATGAGTGAGCACAGCGAATACCCCTTGTCCCAAATGCCCACGGCCTTGTGCAATTCCATACTGCAAACCCAGTCGGTTCATGATAAGTTTAATTTCAAAATTTCAAAACGGTCATTCCAGGGCCAAGTCTGGCCAAAAGGTGTTTGACGGAGGCATCCGTGCTTCAAAGGGAAGGCAGCCATCTCACGATGGAGCACTCAGCTGGGGCACAAGGCCCCGGAGAGAGCCATGCGGTTCACAGAAAGCCCTCCACTGAATGAGATTGAAAGAGGGCATAGAAGGGTTAATCTCCTTCCATTACGGGGGGGGGGGGGGGGGGGCATTGGGTGAAGGTGAAGAGAATAATCTGTATGAAGAGGAGAGAAGACAAAGAGCTATTCCAGAGAAGAAAGTGTTGTGCAGGGCACGAAGGATGATTTGTCCTAGATTTTCACAGTGAGGCCATTTCTTAGATCTCTGAGTCTTTACCTCGCTTTGAAGTTACAATCTCGGGGAGGGGGAAAGGGGGCACATTTGCACTCAGTGCTGCAATACTTGAGCTTGCTTCCATCTGAGATGAGCGTCACTGAGAAGCAGAGGGTGAGGCCAAAGCCACCAGGACGCCTCAATAGAAGCCTAACCATAAATCAGAAAGCGGCAAAACAAACAATAGGAATTGCTCATGAAAGAGAAGCCAGCGGCTGAATCCTCCTTTCCTGGGGTGGGGAATGCCCTTGAAAACAAAATGAATTAAAACAAACCCAACTTTTAAAGGTTGCTTTTAATAACTTTTTTGGAAATAGTTACGATTCATAAGAAGTTGCAAGAATGGCGCAGTAACTGGATAATTTCATCCAGCTTTCCCTAATGATACTATCTTCTACTACTGTAGCCCATTGTTTAAACCAAGAATTCGATATTGGTACAATACTATTAACTCAGGTACAGACCTTATTTGAATTTCATCAGTTTCCACATGCACTGTGTATGTATGTGTGTGCGTGTGCATGTGTGTGTCTAGAGTTCTACGAAATTTTATCACATGTGTAGACTGGAATTGCCATCATCACAACTGAGATACAGAACTATTTCATCACCACAAAATCTCCTTGTGGTACCCCTCTATACTCACACCTTCCTCCAGCCCTAATCTCTGGCACCAATCTGTTCTCTATCACTATAATTTTGTCGCTTTGAGAATGTTAAGCGTATATAACTGGAATCATGCAGCATGTAACCCTTTGAGATTGGCGTTTTCTCACCCAGCATAATGCCCCTATGATCCATTCACGTTGTATGCAAAGAGTGTGTGCCTTTTTATTCCATGATATGGATATACCAGTTTCTTACCATTCACCCACTGAAGGACATTTGGCTGGTTTCCAGTTTGAAGCTATTACAAATCAAACGGCTTGAATATTTGTGTATAGATTTTTGTGTGAACCTAACTTTTCATTTCTCCCGCGTAAATGCCCAGGACTGGGATTGTATGGTAAGTGTATGTTTAGGTTTATAAGAAACTGCCATACTATTTTTCGCAGCGGCTGCCCAATTTACATTCCCACCAGCAAAGTATGAGTGACCCAGTTTCTCCACGTCCTCACCAGCATTGGGTAACATCAGTATTTTTATTTCAGCCATGCTGATACGTGTGTAGGGGCCTCCCTTTGATGTCCCCAGTCAAGAAGGCAGGTAAGTATGGAACCTTCAGAGCTTGGGTAGGGTGGCTTCAGATATCTCTCACACTTCCAGCTTTCCTAATAGTTGTCTACACAGCAGCTTGGTAAATCTGGCATTTCCATGATGGAAAATGGGGCTCTTGATTCGGGGTGAGGCTTTAAGTTTGTCTGGTTGCTCCTGACTGCAGTAGTGGGACACTGCCCTCTGGTGATGTTGGGTTCTTTGAGGCAGTACCCCTTGGCCCAGCAGGCAGACCCTCGCACCCATGAGGTGATAATGCAAACCATGATATGAGATCCAGGGGGCAGGGTCCTCCTGCACCTTTGGCCAGAGAAGGTGCAAGTGTTCTTCATTCTTAAAGTTAGTACTTATTAGCAGGTGTGAGGAGGAGGTGGACACGAGGAACCACCAATGGTACTTCTCAGATCATAGGCCCCCTTGAACACTTTTTGCCCTTGGACTTCCTACTCTGTTGACCACCCAAGACTCTCCAACAGCATGTGGACACCTTGTGTGGATGTCACAGAACTCCGATTACTACCTCCTGGGACTTAGATCTGGAGGCATTGCTGTCACCACCACATGGACTTTCCTGGCCTAGGGATCCAGGTCCTGTCAGCAATTAGAACTCCATCTAAGTATCAGGAGGTGCCCCAGCCAAGGAAGATGCCAGGGAGATGGTCTTTGCATAGGGCCATCATCATAGTGATGAGTCAAATCACAGTCTGGAAAGTCACTTTCCATCTTGTGTGCCCCTGATTCAAGGGAGGTTGTAGATCTTCCCAGAATTTATATTCATCATGACCTTGGGTCCACAAGTTTGGACCAGGAGGCCAAGATTCAGGAGAGCAGTGATCCTTGCAAGGGGATAGCTAAGAGATAATGGAGGCCATGTACAGGGACAGTGAAGTTTCGTGATTGTAGGCACATTCCCTGGCGCCCAAGTATGCAGCATGGGTGTAGCAGAGGTGCTCCACTGGGTCCTGGCTCTTGCACTTCACCTGGTACAGTGACAGGAGATGGACGTGGACTTGGGCTAGCGATTTATAGAGCCTGAACATAAATGGGACTGTCAGGAGCACAGCAATCTATGGAGGCTGACCTTGAAAGTCAAACGATATGATCATTTGGCTTCCAGAAGTTGAGGTAAATGAGAGGAAAGGCAGCCAGATAGTATCAGGTGACCAGTGGGTGTGTCTTGATGGGTTTGAGCAGAGTTACGCAGACAGGATGGATAGTCATACTTCCTCTTAGAAGGTGGTGAGAACTTTTAAATTTGGTTGTTGTTTGTTCCCTATGGTCTCTGCTGTAACAGAATTTTCTAAATTTCCATTTTCGGGTGCCTCTTCTCTGGCCCTTGCCTCTCCTTTGGCCAGATGCTCCCGCCTACTTGCTTGCTGTCAGAAGGCAGCCCAGTGCACAACACCTTTCAGATTTAACGAGGTGGGTGCTTCCCCTGATCATGAAGTTACGTCATGGGGGCTCTAACACTGAGGATGAATCCATGCCAGCTCCCCTCTAGCTCTGGCTTTGTCTTCTTGCAACTCATGCCTGCCTTGACCTAGATGTGGGTCTTGCCCTTGCCCTGGCCCTGCTCTCTTGGCTTCTGACTCTGGACTCCCCCGCCTTCTCTGCTCTCATGGCATGGATCTGCATGGCTGCCCTGTGCCCTCCTTGGTCTAGCTTCAGTATAACCACCTCAGGCTTAGGGTGCCCAATGGTCTGGCTTCATTAGGCGACTAAGGTGAACAACCCCAGAGGGCTGCCCACACATGTCCTGAGGTATGGCCCTGCCTATCAGAAGGCAGATAAAAGTCCCCTGGTTGAGAGAAGGGCTCACTTCAGGAGTTAGTCTTCTCTCTGTTGCCTTCTCTCTGCTCCCCAGAGGTTGGGTGGATCCGAGCCCTGTGTCTACTCAAGTTCTCGTTCTGCCTCTGCCACTAAATCCCTGGGTAGCCACAAGAAAGTAAATGAACCATTCTGGGTCTCAATTATCTCACATTTGTAATAAGGTTTCCTGACTCCCTAGCTGAGAATCTTTCAACTACATCATACCATGAATAAGGGAAAATCTGAAGTTCAGAAGCCAAAAAAGGGCCTTTAAGTTAAATTCTAGTTGAGATATACTACCTCAGGGTTCCCTAAAAATTTTTTCTGTCTAATAAGTGTTTGCTGAAATGAATGTTTGTTGAATTGTATGCAGCATGTCAATAGTTCTCAGGCTTTAATCCTTGAATTAGGATTGGGAGGCTGTATTAAAATGCACATGCCTAGGCTCCCTCTTCAGAGCTTCTGGTGCCGCTGGACCTAGGAGCATGCATTTTAACATAAGAAACTGAAAGGGGCCTAGGCTTTGAAATAGATACTGGTAACTGTTTCTAGAGGCTAATTTACAAATATACATTAGGAACTTTAAAAATAGGTCATTTGACCTACTGATTCAAGTCTAGGAATTTTCTCTAAGATGTCCACAAAGATCTATCTACAAGAATGTTTACATATTTATAATAGCAGAACAGTATAGGCGATCAAAATATCCATTAAAAAAAAGAATGGATAAATTAAGACATATCAGTGCAATGGAAACACAGCCATTCAAAATCAAATTTTCAAAGACCATTTACTCACTTGGAAAAATGTTTACAATAAGTGGAGTGAAAAAAACATATAAAATACAATTTTGATAATTTTTAAAAGAAAAAAATATATATGAGAAATTGGAAATACATCAAAATGTTCATAATGAATTATTACTTGGTTGTTGAATTACTACAGATCGTTATTTCCTTTTTGATATTTTTCTGTATCTTGTGTACTGACTAGTTATGACTCTTATTATTTGAAAAAGAGTGATACTTTTTTTTTAAAGGAAAAGACAAGGAATTTGCCTCATGTAGAAAGAAAACAGAGGGAAGAGGGGTCTCTTAGGCGTCCAGCCCAGCCTTGGCCTGGCTGCTACAGGCAGACTCACACAGCAGATAGACTGAGTCTGGTGCCTGTGGTGGATTTTGAGCTACATTCTCATTTGCAAAGTACCTTGGTATAGTCGAAGCCAAGGAATTTGGGTTAAGGAGGATGTCCTTTTCACTAGATACTACTTTCCTGCTACATTCGAGGATAACAGACTATAGGATCTGGGCCATGGAGGGGGGTTCACAGTTTAAATGAACTTGTTTACTCCTCTTGGGTGAACTCATGCTTGTTGCCTCTGTGTATAATCCACCACCCTGCCCACTCCACCTATAACAGCAAGCAGACAGACTGCACTCATGAGTAGAGGCTTGGGACAGGCGAGGGGCTCCATTTTGGCTTGGGAGACACCACGTAGGGTGGGGCTTCCATGGAGTGGTTTCAAAGCCTCCTTTGACCAATGAATGCCCTGGGAACCCCATGGAGCACCAGGAAGAATCTCTTTTTTTTGGCAGAGAGATGACTCAAATCTATCTTCCCTCACAGATTTCAGTGAATCCCAGGTCAAGTCTGTCTCTGAATAAGATTAGAAGCCTCACGGTTAGGCCTCTGGCCTAGAGTCAAACCTTTCCAAATGTCCTTGAGATTTTTACACCACATGCTTTGGCTAGTGAGGAAGTGGTGCTAAAGATCTCAGATGAAAGACAATTTAGAAAGACAAAAACAAAAAACTAAAATAATGGCAGTTACAATATTAATAGCACTATCAAAAGCCAAAATGCCAATGCTGACCATAATTATGGTAATTCATTTCATTAACACCTTGACTCGTCATGCATTTTTCCAAGTTGCCCAAATCATTTCACCTATATTACCTTACTTATTCTGACAGAATCTCAGTTTTACATTTTTAAAAAATCCCATTTCGGAGGTGAGAGGAGGCTTTAAAGTTCTGATGAAAACCAGAGGCTTCTTGAGTCAAAAACAAAACCCTGAAGTCTTCACTGTGGTGTTTTCCAACTCCATTCTTGACAAGAAATCAGGGGATTTCAGCATGAGAAATTATGAAGTCCTATTACCATGAATCCTTAGCTTTGGTGAATATGACGTGGCCGTATTGCAAAATTCTCTAAAGAGAGTAATAGAACATTTATAATACTAACCCAGGGTAAGAAAGGGGCTTGTACTTCTGTGCTGTAAAAACCATAAGTCCTCTGGGGTTAAAAAACAACCAACTGGTCTAGACGTTGCCTATGTCAGCCTGCTATGCTCAGTCACATCTGCTCGTCGTGGATCGGCACAGTCCAGGCTAAGCTCCTTAGATGCCCTTGGCGCTGAGAAGACAATGGCGCCCCCAATTTGAATTATACCCCTCGTGTGGATTTAAAATTTTTTCAGTAATAAAATATGAAAATTAAGGAATCTCAAGAAAGTGTCACTTTTCTCATGATGTCTACGTTGACGCTTTTTTGAAAATGTCGAACATCCGAATATTTACAAAGTGTATATGTGTTACCCCTGCCTTGTTGGTGTGTCTGTGAGGGCACCCAGCATGCTGTACCAACACTGTGGAAGGGTCGTGTTGACAGTAGCGAAAGCCTGATTAGGCGGTCGTACACCTCTCTCTGCCATGCTATGCAGCTAGACATTAGAAATCAGGGGGTTGACCCTAACACACACACACACACACACACACACACACACACACACACACACACGAGTCATTCCTACATACTTAGTCCTTTGAGGAGTTGTTATCACATGGTGGTTGAAATTAACAAGCTGATGGACCCTGACCCCTCTCCTCCTTGACTATGGCCTGTGGCCTTGCCCTTCCTGGCGGACTCCATTAGGCTGGGACTTCCAGCAACAGAGCATCTCCATCTGGCTCCAGCTTTTAAAACCTGGGACTTGTTCTCAACTTACTCCTTTGGCTGCACCTGTCTAGCAGGCCCTGCATTCCCCCATCAACCTGGTCTTATCGCTAGCTTAGTCCACTAGTCCAGCCAGCTCTCGGCACAGAAAACACTTTCAGGACCCACCAGCCCAAGAAAATGGACTTCCAAAGGTTGTAGCATTTTTGCAACACTTGTTCTTCTTGTTCCACTCCTTCTTAGCCCACTCCAGATGGGAGGGGACTGGGCCAAGGGGAGGCAGCAGTCACAGGAGGCCAGGCGTCAGGCTCCTTGACAGCCTGACAGGCTGTGTTAAATCAGCCAGTAGCTGGCCTTCCCACACAATGGACAATATGTGTTCTTCAGGGTGTGGGCATGAGTGCCAGAAATATCCAGTGCAGGGCAATAGTCAATCAGATGCCAGAGTGACTAGCCAGACATTGATAACACAACTAGAGAACTAGGTACCCGGCAGCTCAGACAAAGACTATAGTCCAGTTTTAGTATATGTGCTGCTGAAGCGAGCACCTGTGGCCATTCTTACTGGAGGCCTTTATGACGCCTTAGGAGTATCACAGGGCACCTGCCATGTGGTTTCTGATATTTACCAGTGAGGGGAATACTGCTCTAAGACCAACCATGGTGAAATGGCTACATAAAATATAAAATTTGTTTTAGGGTTCTCCAAACAGGGCTTATAAGCTTACCACTCATTATTATAGTAAATATTTTGGAACTTTTCCTGAAAAGCTAGAATTATATATCAAATCCTTAGGATAGCATTAATCTTGAGCCTTTTTAGTCTACTTTTAAATGTTTCCTTAATAACTTGGTTTGAAGATCCCATCTTAATCAAGGAGTCTCTCCTCTCCCTTTCTGTCCCCCAATCTATGCCAAGATTAAAAAGTGTGCCAAGACCTGGAGCAGATCAGGCAGGGTAGTTTCCCAGAGTCCCCAAGGACAGACAGAACCATTAGCTAAGGAGACCAAAAGCTTTCCTATAAACCACTGGGGCTCATAGTTGGGAGAACAGAATTCTGTTAGACCAGCAGTTCTCAACCTGTGGGTCGCGACCCCTTTGGGGGTCGAACGACCCTTTTACAGGGGTCGCCTAAGACCATCGGGAAACAAAAAGATATTTACATTACGATTCATAACAGTAGCAAAATTACAGTTATAGAGTAGCAACAAAAATAATTTTATGGTTGGGGGGTCACCACAACATGAGGAACTGTATTAAGGGGTCGCGGCATTAGGAAGGTTGAGAACCGCTGTGTTAGGCAATTCTAACTGGCATGACTGGGCCCAGGACAAGGAGACAAAGCTAGGATCGTCCTAGCCCAAGAGGATCCTATAGGGAAAAATAAGGGAAGCATGTCCTCCCTGGTTCATTGACCACTAGGGGCACAGTGGTGCTCCTGTAAAGGCTCAGGGTCAGAATGGACAGAGGCATCTTGAAAAAAATCTTACCCACTGCTTCTTGCCCACATGGCCAGATGTTATCTAAGAGTGTCAGGGAATTCTAAATACCTGATTATTGTTTTCTTCTCCCACTGCTTCATTCTGCTGTCTTATCCTTGAGCATCTCTAAGTTCCTTATTGTGTCTGGCCAGAGAGGACTACCTCTCCTCCAGAAACTCTCCAGAGCATCCCTGGGAAATGGCTACACCCACCCCCACCCAGAGACTACATTTCCCAGACTCCTTTGCAGCCAGATGTGGTCATGTGATAGAGTTTTAGCCAATTGAATGTGAGTAGAAGTGATGTGGACCACCTCTAGGCTTGGCCCATGAAAACCTCCCGTGTGTACTTTTTATGCTCTTTTCCTCCTCAATGGGAAGTGGAAACAATCCCAGGTGACCTTGATAATCACATGCTGCAGAAGGTGGAGCCTCTCTCAACCTGTGTGTCTGAATGCCTGAAAGAGAGTTTCCCCACTAACCTGTACTGTTACGTGAGCAACAAATAAACTTCTATTTAAACCATTATACATTTTTTTCAGTCTGGTACAGCAATTAGCCTATCCTAACTATTACGTATCCTGTTTGATACAGCTGTTGTCATTGTGTGCAGAAGGCCCCTGCCTTCTCCCTTTTTCTTAAATCTTGCTGTAAACCAAAAGAATAAAATTAGTAAACTTACATTTAAGCAGCCATTAGGGACAAACGACACTCACCGAATTAGCAGTCACAGCGTTCAGATCTTGCAGCCAGATGAACAGTAGTTTGGCAGAGCCTCACTTCAAGATAACCTGATATACCAAAATAAAACAAAAAGGAAAATGTAAGACCTACAAAACAGGTATATGAGAGCCTGATTGGTAATTTCCAAAGGGTGTTGTCATTTTACAAAGGACTTCGCCACTTTTTTCCGGTAAATGACAAGCTTCCCTATTGTTTTTAAAATAAGTTTCATTTTTAATATAGCCTCCAATCATTACAAAACGGAATTTATAAAAAACAATTCTACTGTGGCTAAGTAAGCTATACAAAGACTAGATGCTGACTCAGGGGGTGACTTTGGAAAATTGAGTATGATTTCTGTGCCTATGTGCTCTGCAGTTCTTACGTACACCTTAAAACCTTTCTCTTGGAAACTAAACTTTTTTAGGTAGGAACTTCCAGAGCTTGAAAAATTATAGGCTATGCAAAGACTTAAGATTTTTTTAGTGAAGTTAAAACAGACACCAGAGGTACATTATAATGTCTTTATATTTCATACCACCCCAGATGGCACAAGTCGAAATGAAAATAAGCTCTCTGTAAACAGGGCAGTGAGAAAATGGAGGTACCTAAGCCCGAACAACTGGAGACAACCAGAATCACGCTCTGTAAAGGCGGCAGGTTGTGGATGTTTTCCTACCAGAGCTGCCATCTTTTACCAGATTAACTGCGAAAATATCATTTGACGGCACAACACAACTATTCGCCTAGAACAGGGTTTATTTTTGTATCTGATTACTCAGTATAAGATCCAGGAAGCAAATAGTTCAGAACTCTGAACAAACATTCTGGCAGTCCAAAACAGAGCACTGGGGCGGAAGAAGGAAGAGAAGACAAAACAAGAGGGTTGATGGGGGAGGGCTCAAATTGGGCCACTTCCCTCAGGGTTTCAACCTAAGTGTATATAAATATTTTTGAGAGGAAACGCGTTCTTGTCTGGTCCTGTGGAGAAGAGAGAGGTCAGATAGATCCCTTTGGTGGTGTACGTTGAGGGTCTCCCAAATGCAGTCCCCACCCCCACCCTCTGGGCTGGGGCCTGCCAAGCCTCAGGTGTCAGGGAACAAGATGGCGCCCCACAGTGAAGGGCACTGAGTGAGGGGGGCCAGGGTGGGCCTTCACTTACTCGGAGGCGCTGGCTCCTCTGAAACCCAGACGCTGCCAACTCCCTGGGCTCAGGAGTTATAATCGCTTTCTTGCTCTGGGTTCTTCACTTCTCGTCGAAATCAGCTCCACATATTTTTCTGATGATGACACTCATTCTGACTTCTTACATTTTGAAAGTTGATCTACAAGTAAAACCTTCCATGGGGCTTAAAAAAATAAAAAAAGAAGAAGAAAAGAAAAGAAAGGTGTGCTGTGGGGAGATGGAGAGGAGGAGGAGAGAGGCAGTTGCCTCCTTATTTTGAGATTTGCTGCAGCTGCTCCAGTGCCACTCCCCAGCCAGTTTCCTGGCTGCACAGGGAGGCCAGTGGCCGGGCGTGGGTGACGTCAGGGCCAGGCCTGAGTCATCACCAGAGGCCGGGCTGCCCTGCCACTCGGAAGGGGACAAAAGGAACCTTTGATGTCCAGGGCCCTCCTCTCAGCACTCTCGCTTGTACTGAGCAGCAGGCCAGGAGAACATTCCAGCCGCCTCCCCACCCCCAGCCGTCCTTCCTACTTCCGGAACAGTCCCAGGCGGATTCAGCAAGGCCTCCCTAAGGGATGTCACCCTCCTGCATGGCAGAGGCATGGCCGCTGTCTGTCAAAGAGAGAAAGAGGGGAGGGTATTTCTCTGGGGATTTCTTACCTCCCCCTCTTCCTTCTTCCTCTTGGTGCTCCCTTACCCAGCGAGTCACAGTGGTATTGAAAGAGATGTGGAAAGGTGGAAGGTGTTCTCGTCACCTTCCCTGGGCAGTACCCAGTAGTGGGTGTCTATTCTCATCTGCCTTTCTGTGGTGGCCCTGGGCCTCGGCTCTCTGGGTGCCAGAGTGAGCTTGTGCTTTGAGGATTTTAGAGGGCACCACTCCTTCACAGGGGTATTTATAACCCAAGGCCTGGCAAGCGGCCCAGTAAATACATGCTGAATGAATGAACGATCATTTTAAAGTAAAATAGTAGAGGACATATATTGAATACTTGCAGTGAATGTTTGAACTTCTGTGCTAAGTGTTTATAAAGGTTATTTCACTTATTGTTACCATGAGAAAGCTATGAAGTGGGTGCTGTTATTATTCCCAGTTCTACAGATGAGAAAATGGAAGCTCAGAGAGATTAAGACACTTCTCTAACGTCTCACAGCTAGTCAGCGGCAGAGCCTGGATCGTCTGACCTCAAATCCTATGTTCTTAACCACTGTGCTGAGTGGCTGGCATGAGTGAATGAATACTGACCAAGGGCAGCCTGTCCAGGGGAGAGGGCATAAGGATCATGATGGGGCTGAAACCAAACTCTATAAAAACCAGTGGAGCAATTAGGCATGGTCTGTCTAGGGCAGCAGTCCTCATGTCCTCTTGATGGGTTCACACCAGATCTGAGGCTTGGTGAGATACCCAGAGTGGCCAGGAGGGCAAGTCCATTGTCAGGTCCATGTGGAAATGAGAAGCTAGAACCAGAAAACAAAGCCTGGTGGCGTGTGGTGAATGCAGCATCCAAGAGCACAATGGACAGAGTACCTCAGAGGAGCCAAGGCCCAGGCTTGTCTTTATTGCCCCCTGGACTCATGGGTGTGGGTGGAAAGGTCAGTGTAGCTAAAGGCACACGTCTGGGGTAGGCAAGAAGATGACGGAAGAAAGACATGGGGGTAGCCGGGTGGCTCAGCTGGCTAAAGCGTAAGCTCTGAGCAACAGGGTTGCCGGTTCGATTCCCACATGGGCCAGTGAGCTGCACCCGAGCTGAGCTGCAGCTGAGCTGCTGACGGGCGGCTGGGTGGCTCAGTTGGCTAGAGCACGTGCTCTTAACAAGAAGGCTGCCTGTTTACTCCCATGATGGCATCCTGGAAAAAACACACTGTTCCCCAATAAAGTAAAAAAAAAAAAAAAAAGACAAACTCTCAAAGACTCTGAGATCTAAAGAAGGAGCTGGAACTACGGCATGATTTCAAAGAGTGAGGAGGGGCTGGAAGTGACAGGGAACAGAGCTGGACCTGACAATGGTAGTCACTGCCCTTCACACTGTCCTACCAGAAGCCAGCTGCCTTTCTGGGACTGAGAGAGAATGCTGTCAGTGGCCGTGTTCAAGCCAAGGAGACAAGTGGTGGCAAGAGGAGAACTTCTGCTAATGGGGGTGTCTGGTCCCAGGATAAGAATGACCTTATAGGTACCTTCTTCCTCTGTGGTTTCTGCCACTGTTCTCCTTGGGTAAAGGCCTCATTCCAAGGAGAAGACAAAAGCCAGGAATGTGCAGCCTTTTACAGAAAGGGGCAGGGTTTTATGGGTGGCCTCTTCAGGAATGCCATTCCACAGCTTTTCTTCCCCCCCGAATGTCTTCTCATGGGACCCCCTCCCCCGCTCCTTGGCTCAGGAAATGGATGTAGCTACCCTGTGCTGGGAGCTCTGCTAGTTGCCACTCTGAGGCATTACACTTGTGCTGTGGGGTCTGACACCCCAGGCAGGTGGACTCCGCAGAGGTGAATTTCAGAAGAGAGAAAGCCACGACCTTTTTAATCAAGGGAGCAGCAACAACTGATCAGGGTCATTGTCAACGTCCACACAGAGCCTGACCTTGGGCTGAGGAAAGCACTTTAAGTTCCAGGCATTTTTGGCAGAAGTCTTGTTTATTCTTTTCTTCTCTCTCTGCAGAAAATGCCTCTGGGTACCTCCCTGCTCTGTTTCCCCAAAGGCTAGATGGCCTTGCTTGCTTCACATACACAGGTATTTATTTCTCTAGTAAGATGAACAGAGGCCGGTTATTTTTTCAGCCTACCTTGTGGGGCCAGAATAATGTGAAGAGGAAAAGAAAGGAAAGAAGAAAAGATAAGTAAAAGCTTATTGTGAGACTCAGATCCTTGCATTATATGCTCTGGGGTTGATCTAAAAGTGAGGATAAAAATCAGAGAATTGGGCAAAACATCTACTTGGGAACACAGAGAAGTGGTGAAACCCTTAACCTTTATCCATCTGGAGAACCCTCCTCTGTTACAACAAATGAAGTTATATACTGGTAATTACAAAAAACAAAAGGCTACAGGTTCAAGGAATTCCTTGGAAGTCTTGTCTATACTTGCTGCCTCCAATTTCTCTCAACTCATTCACTTTAAAAAAAAACACCTTACTAAAATATAATTTACATACCATAAAATTAACCCACTTAAAGTGTTAAAAGCCATGGATTTTAATGGATTCAATGGATTTTAATACATGTATTTACAGAATTGTGTGACCCATAATCTAATTTTAGAACATTCTTATCACTCCAAAAAAAACCAACAACCTTGTACCTGTTAGCAGTCACTCTTCCTTTGCCCCACCCCCAGCCCTAAGCACACATTAATCTTCTTTCTGTCTCTATAGATTTGCCTCTTCTGGGTATGTCATATAAATGGAATCATACAATATGGTATTTTGTGTCTGGCTTCTTTCACTTAGCATAATGTTCTCAAGGTTCATTCATGTTGTAGAATACATCAGCACTTCATTCCGTTTTATGCCCTCAGAATATTCCATTAGGTGGATCTGCCAAATTTTGTTGATCTGTACACCAGTTGATGAACACTTAAGTTGCTTTTATTTTTGGCTGTTATGAATAATGTTGCCATGAACATTCGAGTACAAGTTTTTGGGCGGATACATGTTTTCACGTCTCTTGGGTTGGAGTGGAATTGCTGGGTCACAAGGTAACTCTATGTTTAACATTTTGAGGAACTGCCGAGCTGTTTCCCAAAGTGTGCACCATTGTACATCCCCATTAGCAATGTGTGAGGGTTCTGATTTCTCCACATCCTTACCACCGCTTTTTTCAAAAAAAAAATTTTTTATTATGGTTGACATACAATATTATATGTCTCAGGCGTACAACACAGTGATTTGACATTTATATGCCTTATGATGTCATCACCACAATAAGTCTAGTGACCATGAATCTGTACCATACAAAGTTAGTATGATATTATTGACTATTTTCCATATGCTGTACATTACATCACCATGACTTACATATTTTATAACTGGAACTTTGTACCTCTTATTCCTCTTTACCTTTTTCACCCATTCCTCCACCACTCCCCCTTCATCAATACTCTTATTGTCTATCTTTTTTATGCTAGCCATCCTAGTGGGTGTGACATAGTATCTCATGTTGGCTTAAATCAAAGCCTTTACCTAATGATTAATGATGTTGAACATCATTTTCATGAGCTTATTGGCCATTTGTATAACTTCTTTGTAGAATTATCTATTCAAATTCTTTATCTATTTTAAAATTGGATTATTTACTCTTTATTTTTGAGTTGTAGGGGTTTGTTATATATTCTGCATATAAATCCCTTATAGATACATGTTTTACATGTATTATCTCCCTGTCTGTGGGTTGCCATTTTACTTTCTTTATGGTATTCTTTAAAGGAGAAAAATTATTACTGTTGATGAAGTCCAACTCACCAATCTTCTCTTTTATCACTTGTGCTTTTGGTGTCATGTCTAAGAAACCATTGTCTAACCCAAGGTCATAAAGATTTACACCTGAGTTTTCTTCTAAGAGTTTTATGTTTTAGCTCTTACATTTAGGTCCATGATTCACTTTAAGTTAATTTTTATGGTATGTGGTAGGGATCCAAATTAATTCTTTTTCATGTGGATATCCAGTTGTCCAAGAACCATTTGTTGAAAAGACTTTTTTTACAATAATTCTATACATCTAAAACTGTTCTAAAATAAAAAGTTTGTTAAAAAAGAATCTATTCTCTCCCCTACTGAACTGCCTTGGCCCCTTTGTCAAAAATCAATTGACCATAAACATTGTTTATTTCTGGACTCTTAACTCCAGTCCATTGATCTAGATGTCTCTTGTCATGCCAGCACCACATTGTTCTGATTACTGTAGCTTCATAACAAGTTTGGAAATTGGGAACTGTGAATCCACAACTTTGCTTTTTTTTTCAAGACTGTTTTGTCTATCCTGGATCCTTTGCATGTACGTAGGATTTTTAGGATCATCTTCTCAATTTCTAGCTGGGATTTTGATTGAGATTGTGTTCTACCGGTATATCAACTTGGGGAGTTTTTAACAATAATAATCCATAAACCTGGGAAGCCTTTCCATTTATTTAGATCTTTAATTTCTTTCAGTGTTTTGTCATTTTCAGTGTACAGGTCTTACATTCCTTTTGTTAAACCTCATCCTAAGTATTTTATTCTTAATTGAGATTGTAATCTTTGCTTATGAACTTGTTAAGAGCTTATACTTTTGAGATCAAAAGACCTAAATTTTAGTCATGGCTCCACTATTTATTTGCGGTATGACATTAAGTTTACTTAGTTTGTATCGGCCTCCTTTTTTTTTTTTAATCTGAAAAAAGGAAATAATAATACCATCTCATGGGTTTGTTACACAGATGAAATAAGATAATGCTTATGTAACCCTACTGAGACAATGAACCACATGGGTCAGTCTCAGGGTGGTATTGCAGTCCAAGAAAACCAGTCCAGTCACCAAAAAGTTATTCAAATTAACTCTTACTCAATACTTGCATTTCTCAAACACCATCTAGAGCCCCCTGCAATGCTTCCTAACATTCTTTTTCCCCCTCCTACCTAAGCCTTTTAACAATCCACAGCTTCGGCCTCCCCTTTTCTCTTCCAAGCTCCCTACAAAGATTTTTCTCCAGCCTTAACCAATGTGCCTCCAATCCATCTTCTTCTGTCCAGCTCTCCTTCTGATGAGGCAGGGGAAGAAACTGGAAGGACAAAGCCAGAACTCTTTTTAGTGGACAGGAAGAAAAGAACATAGGAAGCACTCAATCTTAATGTATGTCCCGTCACTCGTATAAAGCACTTAGAGCAATGTCTGATCATTGCACTAAGGGCTGAATAAACGTTGAGGTTTTATTTTTTGTTGTTGTGGTGGTGGTTACATTACGCCCATCTATACTTTATGTTAAGGTGTGCGGTTTAGATCATGGCTTCTGAAAATCTAGTCTAGAGATGACTTACTACCCAGGGGCCCATCCTCACTCGTTCAGATGAATTTGGGGTTGCTGCTCATCTTGCTTCCTCCTAAACCATTCCTCAGAGAATCAGCCCCTAGAAAATTAGAAAAAGTTTATCTTGAGGCTTCCTGAATAATGTGTGGGGCCTGTCTCCTATTTCCTCCTCGCCACCCAGCACCAGAACCCTGTACTCCCTCCTGGCCCCCCATGAAACCTTCTAGGATAGTGCTTTGAAAACTGCAGCTCAGGACCCATTGTTTATTGAGACAGAACCAGCATTGGTTTCAAGTGACAGAATAAAAGAAAAGAGTAGAAAGTATCCAACTGCCTTGTAACTAAGACTTGTTTCAGTTTTGTAATATGTGTGCGAGCTGTGAAACAGTTCTTACTGTGGTTCAAGGTTTAAAAAATGTTTTAAAAAGTGTTGGAGTAGATCTTTCACTTCATTTAAACAACTCATCAGAGCATAAAGTAGCACCCCACCAAATGGTCTGTCCATCTTGATAGGGAGGAACCTTTAAGTCCAAGGGATATAGTTACAGCAGCAGGGAAGGATTTGGAAACATTGTGGCCTTTTCCTGTGTTTATAACAGTTGGTGGAGGAATATCTTCGCTACCTGTATGGACCTGTCAACCCCTGCCATGCTACCTCTTAGCCATCACTTCCTCTCACTCCCATAATATCTGCAAATCCACACCCTGAACTTGTGTTGGGTTGCATATTTTCTAAAACTTTTCCACATACTTCATCTCATTTAATTCTCACAACTATCCCATGAAGTTGACAGGTCAGATTCAGATTCTTTCTTGACCATTTAACCTTAAGCAAGTGACTTAACTTCTCAGCCTACCTCCTTAGCTCTATTATACTTAACCAGAGAGGTTAAGACACTTGACCCATATCACACAGCCTGGAAGTGGCAGGACCAGGAAGAGGACTAAATGTTTCATCTCCCAGCCTGGCTGTCTCTCTGGCTCTCCTCAAGGAGATGCATAACTTCATTTTGGTCATCTGCTTCATCTGACTGCCTTATGAAGAATGTTTAAAAGGTAAAAAACGCTTTGCTCCCTTCTGAAAACACAGACTTTTATGGCACACAGCACAGAGACAAACAGCTCCTCGTGCCTTGTGGTTAAGGGCTATCACTCTTAACATCAAAGGCAATTTATTAAAGGCCCGCCCGGGGAAACAGAAACAACAAAGTCCACGAGGAGGCGAAAACAAAGTTCCCCCGAGCCTCTGTGCTGTCCTCTGTGTTGCACTGACCCCTCTAGTGGCTCTGGAGGAAAATAGCTTCTGCAAAACACATTTGTAGATTCACTATTTTTTTTTTTTTTTTTTTAGCTGAGCCATCCGGCTACCTGTTGGCAGCTCAGCGGCTGCTCAGCTCGGGCTGGACTCGAACCGCTGTTGCTCAGAGCTCAAACTCTTGAGCGAGCTCTTAACCAACTGAGCCACTCGGCCGGCCCCTGTAGATTCACTATTGATGCAATCTGAAATGTTGGTGCTTCAAGGGCGCGCAGAGAGCACTTGGTTCAAGGTCAACCATCACTGATGAGAAATTGAGGACTAGAGCAACGGCTCTCACCTAGGGGTGATCCTGCCCCCAGGGAACGTTTGGCAACTTCTGCAGAAGTTTTTGGCTGTCATTGGGCCTAGGGGGTGAGGGGGATGCTACAATCATCAATAAGCAGAGGCCAGGGATTGCTGCTAAATGTCCTACAACACACAGGACAATGCTCCACAACAGGCTTATTTGGCTCAAAATGTCAATAGCGCTGAGACAATTAGAGAAATGGTGTGATCTACCCAAGGACTTGCAGCTTTTTTACCTTCAGCTTTATTAAGATATAATTGACATATAACCAAAGACGTGCAGCTCATTCATAGCTTTTGGCAGCTTATGACTGAAATGGGGATGGAGGGTTAGGAGTGACAGATGAAAGGTATAAGGTTTCTTTTTGAGGTGATAAAACTGTTCTAAAATTGACTGTGAATATACTAAAAACCATTAAATTGTATCCTTTTAGTGAATTATTTGGTATATGAATTATGTCTCATAAAGATATTAGAAAAATAAAGCCTCTGTGGTGTTCCATTAATAGAAAATAAAGCACAAATTCATTACCTCGGCATTCAAG